GTTATACAAATAACGCGAATTTCCACATCAAAAGACGAAATTTCAACAATAACAGTGGTGCACTGGCTACACAATGAGACAAAGATGGCGCCTGACGCTCTTGTTGTGGGTCGCGGTACAACAATATTCATGCGCCAGGCGAAATAGTCCCGTATTCATCCGCGTTCGTTGTAGGAGTTGCGTTCGTTATAGCATTCTCAATTTTATAGGTAAAACCGTTCGTTATAGGAATATTCGTAGTAGGATCCGTTCGTTATAGCATACCCCACTGTATATATGTGTATATATATATATATATATATATATATATATATATATATATATATATATATATATATATATATATATATATATATATATATATATATATATATATATATATATATATACCGTATATACTCGTCTATAACCCCCCTTCGTATATAGGTCGACCCCGATTTTATGACCAAGAAATCGTTAATTTATGATATTCCTCGTTTATAGGTCGACCCAAGTTTTTGAGGGTAAAGGAACAACAAAACCTTCAGAAAAACACTACGTCCTATAAACTTGTTTACCATTTATTATTACGACACTTTACACTGAAACGCAGGTAGTTTCAACAAAAATATTGTATATTTCCATTCAAGTATTTATTCAAGTCAATTAGGAGGGAATATTATTGTAATACAACAGTTTTTTAACTAAACCATTCGAAAAGTGATTACGGTAACATCTTTTGAACGAAAGAAAGCCAAAGTCTTTGTTTTCATCACGATTTTATCCCACTTTCCACTGTAATATGTACGTCATTTCAGCAAAAAATATTACATTTCCGTGAAGGTATTATATCAAGCACAGTATAAATAGAATATCATTGTAATATAACAGAATTTTAACCGAAAACGAATAACATCTCGAGAACATCGGAAGCTTAGGTAAAGTCTTTTGTTTTCGACATGTATTTTATCCTATTTTACATTGAAATACATCACGTTTCAGCAAAACTACTATTTATTTCCGAGAATATATTCATTCAGGCGCAGTTTAGGTAAAATATACATGTGCTGTAACATTTTTTTAACTGAAAACGATTCGAAAAACACGTGTACCCTCTAGCCCTGTTCAAGGAGAGGACTGGGAGAAGCTGTTTGGTGCTGCAGATGATGACAAAGAAAATGATTTTGATGGATTTTAATGAAAATATTCAGAAATATGGTATCGTAATATTTATTCAAGTCAATTAGGATATTATTGTAATACAATACAACAGTTTTTTAACTAAACCATTCGAAAAGTGATTACGGTAACATCTTTTGAACGAAACAAAGCGAAAGTCATTGTTTTCATCACAATTTTATCCCACTTTCCACTGTAATACGTATGTCATTTCAGCAAAAAATATTACATTTCCGTGAAGGTATTATATCAACCACAGTATGAATAGAATATCACTAATATAACAGTATTTTAACCGAAAACTATTAAAAATACGAGTAACATATCTTGAACATCGGAAGGTTAGGTAAAGTCTTTTGTTTTCTGCATGTAGTTTATCCTAATTTACATTGAAATACATCACGTTTCAGCAAAACTACTATTTATTTCTGAGAATATGGAAATGTAATATTTTTGCTGAAATGACGTACGTATTATAGTGGAAAGTGGGATAAAATCGTGACAAAAACAATGACTCGCTTTCTTTCGTTCAAAAGATGTTACCGTAATCGCTTTTCGAATGGTTTTCAGTTAAAAACTGTTATATTACAATAATATTCTATCCTAATTCACTTGTGATGTAAAAGTTTTTTAACTGAAAACGATTCGAAAAACACGTGTACCGTCTAGCTGATACGGCAGAGCCCTGGTCGCGAAGGCTTTGTGTTTGCATCGGCCCTTCTTAAGCAGCTTTTAATTTTAGCGTACGTTGAAATTGTGTTTACCGGTGTATTCTTATTTTCTTGCTTCTTATTTTCCAGAAATATGACAAGTTTTTATATAATACAATGTTACGGTACTTTTAATTTACAAGTATTCATTTTTAAAAATACAGAAGACACCAAACAAATACTAGTACGGATATTTGCGTGACTCTCCCGCCAAAAAAGACCAAACAGCTGGTACTCTCTCCCTCAGCCCTACCAAAAATAGCCCAACATCTTTCTTGTTTATTCTCTTCCAATTTCTCACTTTAACTGGTATTTTTTACTTCATATTGCCTACATCAGATAAACTACAGTAATTGAGGTTAGATATTGTTATAAATTTGATTACCGGGTCCTGGCAGGTACCGTTAGAACCACCTGACCCTACCAACAGTGTTGCAAGTCAGACAGCATTTTTTTTTTTACATTTTTGGTGTCTCCATTTGTTAATTTTTTTTCTGTGGGGTTTGCACAATAGTATACTGTTTTACCTACAGTATTGTAAAACGATTTGGGAAAAGAAATACTCGGTAACTTAAGATTTTAAAAGGAAAATTTTGAAACTGGCAACTGTGTGTAGATGACCTGACTCACATCATATTGATGTTTCAAATTTAATTAACAAAAATTTATGTATCTATAAATAAACTTTTAAAAATGAATACTTTATGTTCTACATACTCCTGTGCATACCATACCATGCATTTGGCTACTTTGGGCTTGCTATGATGACGCAAGAGATCTGCCCTGGCAACTGTACCGACACTCACAGCTGGTGGTGCGTTGGTTCATCGTTTCCATTGTTTACTGGTAGTTACTGGTAAATATTTTTCAACCTAACGAAACTATTACCCGTATAGAGGTCGACCCCCAACTTTTTGCCCAAAAATTTGGTCTTAAGAACTCGTGCTATACACGGGTATATACGGTATATATATATATATATATATATATATATATATATATATATATATATATATATATATATATATATATATATATATATACAATATTTTATATATATATATATATATATATATATATATATATATATATATATATATATATATATATATATATATATATATATAGTGGTCCCTCGGTTAACGAGCACAATCCGTTCCAGCAGGTTGCTTGTTAACCAAAAAACTCGTTAACCGAAACCATTGTTTCAATGGGTTTTTGGGTAATTGGTTCCAGCTCACCAAAAATTGCCTAAATTCAACATAAAAGGTAGAAAAGTACACTTACTTTGAGGTGTGTATGTAGAACGCTCCTGGATGATGATGATGGGAATTAGAATGGGGGTGGAGGAGAAGGAAGAAGAGAAGGCATTGGGGTGGAAGAGAAGTCACTCCATGGCACCATTTCACCCATAAAATTTTAGCTCTCTTGGTGTAATTCAAGATTATTTTCTTTAAATCAACACTGCACTGCATTATATATTGTCAATATGTAAAATATATTTCAAAATGACCAATAATTTGCTTGGAAACACAGAAAAAAAGCGTTTAGTTGAAGAGAGTCTCAAGCAAGACGTTACCTCCACTGAAAACAGAGAGAGACTAATGCCTGTCTGGTGTGTTAACAGGCTGGATGGCACGCCAGAAACTAGTTTCTTTACCATCAATTATGTTCAGTAATTGTTAAAATGACTAAAAAAAGTTAATATTAAACTTTTAAAATTATTGAATAGTATAAACTTCTTGATATTTACTAAAATAGTAAGGAATTTAAGCCCTAAAACCGATTACTGTATTGGCGGACTGATACTAAAGCTGGTTGCCCGGCCAGTGCAAGCGAAAACATGTTGAGGTCGGTTCGTAAGAAATTCGTTAACCGAATTTTTGTTCGTTAACCGAATTGAAGATCCTTATGGAAGGCAGTCAGTTAACCGAAATTTCGTTAACCGAGGCGTTCGTTAAACGAGGGGTCACTGTACAGTAATAATAATAATTATTCATAGTAAATAAAATTTTTAATAAAAAATACACAAAAATAAAATAAGAATGATAATAATAATAATAACAATAATACTGTAATAATAAAATAATAATAATAATAATAATAATAATAATAATAATAATATAATAATAATAATAATAATAATAAAGAAATACAAGAATGAAAAAAAGATCAAAAGTGAGAAACACGACCTAGACCTATGAATTATTAATATTACTACAGTATTATTATTATTATTATTATTATTATTATTATTATTATTATTATTATTATTATTATATTTTTGCCCCCCAGGCCCCAATGTGGGTCAGTGACTTGTGCCCGGATGGGCTAATACAAAAAAAAATAAGTAACCATTCTGAAAACAGAAAAATTCCGAAATCCGAAATGCCTCTGGTCCCAAGGATTTCGGATAAGGGATTGTCAACCTGTAAAAAACTTTTAAAATTATTGAATAGTATAAACTTCTTCATATTTACTAAAATAGTAAGGAATTTAAGCCCTAAAACCGATTACTGTATTGGCGGACTAATACTACAGCTGGTGGACCGCCAAATGCAAGCAAAAACACGTTGAAGTCGGCTCGTAAAAAACTCGTTAATCGAGGGATTGCTCGTTAACCGAAGTTAAGAATCCTAAGGAAGGTGAATCGTTAACCGAAATCTCGTTAACCGAGGCGCTCGTTAACCGAGGGATCACTGTACGGTATATATTTACCATGTATTTATACTTTTTTCAATAAACTACTAACTAACTACCGCAGGCAAGGCTGTGGGCTTGTAACACTCGTCTTGCCCGCGGTGCCCACTGTTTCTCTGTGCATGTCGGTCACACTAGAATAACCCACTATAGTACATCCTTCTTTCCTCACACAGCTAAACTGTGGAATGCTCTGCCTTTTTCTGTTTTTCCATACTCATACAATGTCTCACTTTAACAAGCTGGTTTTCCAGCATCTTCGTGGTGTAGTTATATAATGTTCTTCTTTTCTATTCTTAATTTCTTTTTACTCTTATTTTTTTTGCCCCCTAGTCCCCATTGTAGGTCGATGACCTGTGCCCAGGTGGGCTATTCCCAGGAGGAAAATAAATAAATAAATAAAATAAAATAAAATAAATAAAAAATAATAATAATTTCACCACAACTTCAGCTAAATGAAACAAGTGGAATCACAATATTTACCTCATCAATCCAGTGACAAGGCACAACCTTCCCACCACATACATTTTGAGTATTTTCAATACATATAAGTGTGGTTCTTGGGCAGTGTACATCTTCAACACGCAACCTTGCTGATATCTCATTAACATCAAATGTTCCATTTGGTTCAGTGGGGATGATGTGAGGCTGTATACCACCAAGCTGGAAAAACACAAGAACATAGTGCTGTATCCTTCCAAGAATGTTGATCAAGTCATGGCGTGTTTGTCTGCAACAGCCAAGAACTACCAAATTCTTTGTATCTGTGTGTAATATAATTATGAAGTCAATTCATTCAATAGGTTTCAATTAAAAAAATCTGCAATTAATTTACAAATCACTGCAGATTAAAATCATGTGGCATTTTGTCCAGTATTAACTTAGAAAAATTTCACTACAGGCTTCAGCTCAAGAACAAATACACCATTATTTTCTGATATTTTTTACTGTTATAGGCCCTTTCCTGCTGCAGCACAGAGTAACTAAAATCATAACCAATACAGAATCTCATTCACTTACTGTCATTCATTATTTCTCACTGCCTTACTTAACATAAAAATTGCCTAAGAATTCTTCTTTTTCTAATTATACAACTTCTCTACAGTGTGCTGCCTCAAATACACTACAGTATCTACTGTACAGTCAATAACACTCCTGCAACCTTAAATACCATCACCATCACTATTTTTCACATAGGACTGAACAACCATGATTACAAAATTATTATTGTCACAACAATTCCTTACACGATCCCTAAGCTAATGTTATTATAAATGTTCCTTTATCATACTTCACAATTCAACCAGCAATGTGTCAACTACACACAGTAACCCTTCCACAGAGCTAAAATACAAGTTAAAAAAAACTTTAAGTCTATCCTGAATTAAACAGTTGCACATGTACAGTCACATACACATGTATTGTAACCTAAGACTATACCAACTCTGAAGAACTGACCTGAGCCATACCAGCCTGTTCATAGAGGAAGATGTGTGCTTGATCACCCAGTAGTACTTCTGATCCTCGATGCTCACAGTGGCCTAATACTGCAGCATTTGGATAAATGAAAGAGAAAGTTGGTCCCACAGTCATGTCTACCCATTAGGAACAGTGTGGATACAGCACAATGTATGCCTTAGGTATACAAGGTGGCAGCATGGCCAGATCTGCACTCAACCACCTTTAATTCCCCAATTTGTACAGTATACTGTAATAAGATGCCCCAGGATTGAACCAGTGACTTTAAGGACAGGTGAGCACTATATCCACCAACCTGCAGCACCCTATCTGGGTAAATACAACCTACTTCTCTGATCCCCTTGCCAAACTATACATTACATTGAAATTATTTGACTATAATCTCATTACTTTAAAATGCAGTAGAGTGCTTATTTATATTTCCCTTTCATAGGAATGTAGAAAACAATTGAAATTTTAATTAGTCAATTAAAAATATTCAGTCACATCAACAAGTACAGTGTATAGCCATAAGAAGGGGAGCTCAATAAAAAGCAGACCTTGAACCTAACCAAAGCTACCCTATCCCTGACACAATCTAAGCAAACCAATAGCATTAGTAGAAAAATCTGGGCCAGGTTCCAGGTCCACATTAGACTGGCCTCAAGGAGGAACTGTAGATCTACTTAGGATTCTGGTTGTGGCTGTTTTTATGCAAAACTTTGTTCAAGAATTATAGTCAAACTGTACAGTACTGTACTTCCTATTTGGCAGTTACAAAGAGCATCAGTCATCCAGATTCTATACGTTTTGTACGTTCTATCAAGCTGCCCTCCACCCTGTGTGCTTTGCTATGCAACAGATATACAGTAATCCTTCTCCCTCCCAAGGTGTTCTTCCCATCTATAGGTACAGTACAGTAAAAGTACACTCCCTTCCTGTGTGCTCTACTGCACTAAAAGCCCTCATACCATGTGTGTGTCTAACTCCAAACCATACAAAAATAAAGTGCCCCCTTAATCTTGATATACAACTTAACTCAAGCAAATGGAACACTCATACTACAGGTATTCATAATATAATTAACTTTCTGATAAATTAAATACTTTTTTATCTCTAATCTATTTTGTGTAGGCAAGCACTAACAGCAGGTTAAAGCATGCAATTTGTCTTTGCTACTGATTTCTTTTTCTATAATAATAAATTACCACAAATAAGGTTTCCCATAGTGCCTGATGGTACAAACAGGGCCGAGTCCTTTCCCGTACAAGCTGCCATACAATTCTCCAGCTCTATGAAAATGAGAAAAAATATCCTTAGAAGAAAAACTATAATTAAGAATTAGGTCATATTCACATGCGTTCATTCACGTGATGTTTGAAGATGAAAGTAAGAGCCGAGACTTGTCTGTTAATAACATGTTCAGTACTCAATACAGTCAACCCTCACTTTACGCGGTCCCACATTCCGCGTTTCCACGTTTACGCGGTACCCTGCCGGAAACCAGGATGCTCACATTCCGCGGTCGTGTACCCCTTTACTCGGAGAGTGTCCAACTCGACGCTATTTTTAGATTCGCCCCACCCGCCTGCTCCCGCCTCCGCCTGGGCAAGCCGCGCGGTAAGGTTGCGCAGTGCATGTCTCTGTTGCGTTATCAGTGACGTCATATGAAGTATCGGACTGTGATTGGCCATGCATCCCTACCTCCCTCCGCTGCTAGCTGTAATTGGTTTAAAGTAATATGATGTGTCCACCCAGGGGAGGGAGGGCGGGAGGAAAGACGACTCTTGACCTAGCCGCGGCAGTTTCATCCCTCCAGGCCACACCGCCCTAAGCCCAAGAAGACACGACGTTCCTTGAGCTACGAGGTGAAGTACAAGATCATCCAAGAGTTAGAGAAAGGAACAAGACAGGTTGATTTGGCGCGCCAACATGGTGCGAACGAATCTACGATCCGGACGATAAAGAAGGATGCAGCCAAGATAAAGGAGCACATGAAGATCACAAAGTCTACAGGTGCTTCTATGATCAAGTATTTCCACAACCAGGTGCTTCTCAAGACGGAAAAATTACTTGTGAGCTACTTGGTGCGTCAGGCGCAACGGAACATGGCGGTGGACACGCGTTCAGTTAAGGAGTACGCACGTGAACTGTATGCTGCAGTGTCACGAAAGATGGGAATTACAGAGCCCAAACCCTTTAATGCTTCCTCTGGGTGGTTACAGAGGTTTAAGATGCAGAACAAGATCACCAATATAAACATTGGTGGTGAAGAAGCTAGTGCTGACCGTGCTGCGGCTAGGGAATTTCCTCCGTTTTTAAGTGAGATTATGGAGGAAGGACAGTACACCGACGACCAGGTGTTTAACATGGACGAATCTGGTCTTTTTTGGAAAAAGCTACCTTCCAAGACCTTCGTTGTGAAGAATGCCAGCAATATTCGGGGCCAGAAGATGCAGAAGGAGCGCATCACCGTCCTGTTTACCACCAATGCCTCTGGTACCTGTAAGCTCAAGTTATCGGTGATCCACACAGCCCGCAAGCCGCACGCCTACAAGAGCATGGACATGACCAAGCTAAATGTCCACTGGCTGACCGCACGTAAGGCGTGGATGTTCTCTACACTGTCCCTCTCCCGGTTTGATGACTTTCATTCCCGATGTAAAGAAATTCTGTGAGCAACAGAATGTGCCATTCAAGATTTTGTTGCTGCTGGACAACTCACCAGGACACTCGCCCCTACTGTTAGATCGTCACCCCAACGTAAAAGTGGTCTTCCTTCCTCCCTACACTACGTCTATATTACAGCCCATGGACCAAGAGTTAATCTGTAATGTAAAAGCTGCATTCTCAACAAAAAAATTCAAGCTCCTGAATGACTACACCAACACCAGGGAAGAGTTGCGTAACCTGAGTGACACCACCACCGATAGCAAGAGCGAAGACGACGAGGATCAACAGTTGGCAGAGCAAAAAATACTTTTCAAACAAATCTGGAGAATATTCAACATCAAGAAAGCTGTGGACTTCTTGGTGGAGGCATGGGATCAGCTGTCTGTAGCAACTGTTCGTCACGCATGGAGACATGTGTTGCAAGGCATTCCGGGCGTAAGGCAGAGTCAATCTGTGACTGGTGAGGTTCAGACTGTTGCAGTAGCAGTGGACCTTGCCAGAGAAGCTGCGCAGTGTTACAGCTGCAGGCTTCTCCAAGACCACCAACGACGACATCCTGGAGGTGATAAGGGATCCTGATGTGACTACCGACGAGATGGTAGATGATGATGACGTCAGTGAAGAGGCAGGTGGTGCGTCATCCCAAGAAGAACACCGCTTATCCCATAGTAATGTTAGGGGTGCCATCGAGTGTGTTGAGAAAATCAAGCTCCTCCTTTCCGACGACCCTGACGCAAACAGGTATGAAATCTTCACTACCCAGCTGTTGCAGACTATGGAGCCCTACTTCAAGGTTTATCACGACAACATAAACACCAGCCGTCAGCAAAGCATAACAGAGTTCTTCGCCCGCAACCCACCACAGCCAGCCCAAGCCAGTGATATTGACAGAGGTAGAGACAGTGAAGATGACTTTGAGGGATTTGTCAGGGAGGCCCTGACAAGTGTGGATGACAGTGATGGTGACTCACCTGAGAGCCAGTAGCCTGCCCTCTGCCTCGGAACCAGCCTCCATCCCCGTATGCCGATCCATCTCTTCTACTAACGTAAGTGTTCAACCTAACTTTTAGTTTTCCTAACCTAACCTTTATTTTTCCTAACTTAACCTTTATTTTTCCTAACCTAACCTCTTCTATATTAATTGTTTGTGCATACCATCATAAAGTTAAGATAAAATTTTTACTACAACATAGTTGTGTGTGGTCAAAAAGTGGAGTTTGGGGGTCGGCCCGGTCTCTATTTCAATTAATCCCATATGTTATGTTGTTCACTTTACGCGTTTCTCACTTTCCGCGGTACCCTGTGGGTTATATTAACCGTGTAAAGTGAGTGTTGACTGTACAACTTTAACCCCATGACCACAATGTCATCTAAAATAAAAGGATAAGTCACTGTACCAATATTTAATGGGTTAACTCATTCTATTCAAGCATTTAGCATCATACTTAAGGAATGGAAAAATTCATTAGCTGCTGAATGGTAAGAATCAGAGGATCAACATACGTCCAGCCACCCTGCTTCATATAAAGACATATAAAGAGAGTAATGTTTATACCTGACACTGTTGGATCTTCACGATAGACATCATCCCCAAGTAGTGCATCCATCATGGCCTTCTTCATGCCGGGACTGGGTTTAGTTAAGGTGTCAGAACGCAAATCTACAACATGCCCCTGGAAAAATATACATATGAAACTTATCATTAATACAGTAAGTTTATATAATACAGAGGCATTAAGCCTTTGTAGAAAACACAAACCTAAGCATTGTACACTCGCAACAAAAAGTATCGGTGCATACTGTAGTGTGAACAATTTGAGACCAGTGACGGTAGGTATTGGGAAAGGCGAGTTGTTCCAGCCGTATGTTGGCAGCCCTGGTCAAGTGAAACAAACCGTTATAAATAAGGTTGGGAAGAGATAAATAGACAGTATGAAATATGAGGAGCTCCC